AGGCTGTTAGCAGTTGTGGGAGTTGAAGTCCAAAACACCCGGAGAGCTGAAGTTTGCCCGTGCCTGCTCTACAAGCTACTCGTGGGTGATTTTGAAAAATCCATAGTTTTTTTCTACCACCCCAGACCCAAGAAGTACTACACCAACTCCTCCTAGTAAACCAGATTCTAAACACATGCTTTTACTAAAGGGAGATAGAGGAATGACCTTCATCTTATCTGACATGAGACTTGTTCCTCCACCCTAAAGTTGTAAGTCTCCTGTTGTCTTGCAATAGAAAATTCTAGTGAATTTTGCCATTTTCAGGAACTGGAAACAGTCTTTAGGACTGGATGCAGTCCATGGTTTATCTCTTCCATAATAGCCTAACCAGGTGGCCCTGAAATGAATATTAAAGTCCCCAAGAACCTCAGTGCTGCACGTGAGACCACCTTTGCTATTTCTCAAGCAGAGGAGACTATTAGGCAGTGACGTGGGTATTACATCAGCAGAATCCCAGTCTGGTTTTGACCTATAAAGCTCTATACTGTTCTGGCCCAGCTTACTTGTCAGAACGCATCTGCCTCTACATTCCATCTCACAATCTAAGATCATCCGGGGAGGCTCTGCTTTTGCTTCCGTCAACATCACAAATGCATTTGGAGGGGATGAAAGACAGGGCCTTCTCGGCTGTGCCCCCCCCCCCACCTGTGGAATGCACTCCCAAATGAAATAAGATCGACTCCATCCCTCCTGGCCTTCAGAAAAAATTAAAATCATGGTTTTGGGACCAGGGCCTTTGGGCAGCAGATGTAATTTGCACCATAATGGACATTGACTGGAATGGTGTTGCGGCAGATGACATTGTGACTTTGTTTTATTGTTTTAATTAATGTTATATGTATTGGTTTTAATGATTGTTTTGTATTTGATTGTGTTATATTATTGTAATTGTGATGCAGCGGTCTTGCACCGTTACTAATGTAAGCCGTCCTAAGTCCCCCTTCGGGGGTTGAGAAGAGACAGGGTACAAATGCCAGTAATAAATAAATAAATAAATAATAATTCTCTTACATTCCCAGTCTTGTTCAGATCTGGCCAATTCCTGGGTGAGGGGCATAATTGAGCAGGGACTCAAAACCCTATAGACCAGTGGTTCTCAACCCGTGGGTTTCCAGATGTTTTGGCCTAAAACTCCCAGAAATCCTAGCCAGTTTACCAGTTGTTAGTATTTCTGGGAGTTGAAGGCCAACACATCTGGGGACCCACAGGTTGAGAACCACTTCTATAGTTCAAGATTGCCCCTAGGCTTATGAAATGCCACCCTGCTAAATGGCTTAACCTTTCTGTCATTAAGAAGCTTTCTCTGGGAGACCAGCTAGATGATTTGTTGGTCAAAACTGAGTCTCCATCTCACTTTTTCTCTCATTCTGTTTTCCAACAGCAGTAAAGGATTCATTCGAAATGCCAACTCAATAGTAGATTCGTCTGACCAGAGGGGCAGGTGTCGGCCATTGCATCAGGCCCAACTCCGAGGCCAGACTTTTTACAACAGTGAATATGGGGAACTGTCAGAACAGTCGGAGGAAGGCAGCTGCACTCCACCTGAAGAGGGTCCCAGTCCCTCCTTCCTTCATGCTTCATTTTTTTCAGACCAATACTAAGGGGAATGGATTATGGACACACCATTGCAAGCAACGTACCCTTCTCCCCTTTAAATCGCTTCACCGGAAGCCTCCATTCCTTTGTCCCAGAAGAATCTGGTATACGAATCCCCATGGAACAGTTGAAAAATGCCTTGGAAACGAAGGTGACAAGTTTTCCAGCATGAATAAGAGTTCTTGCATTTGGCACGGACATAATTATTGATCGGATGCTATCTATTGTTCTTTTTGATTAGTTCCTGGGTGCAGTTCTGTGGATGAAACTGAACTGTTCTGTCACCAGATGGGTTGCCTGTGTTAAGTGCTGCAGCCACTATTCAGTATTCAGCCTCCATTCAAATACTTTGCCATAATAAGCTTTATTGGGTCAGATAAAAATAGATGTGTCTTAGCTTGGTTTCTTCCTGATATGCCGATTTGTTTGTTTCGGCTCTTGTTTCAGCTCAACCAGCAGAGAAGGGGGACAAAAAGAACGAAATATATTAATATAAATAACAGAAGCATTGGGGTTGAATTTTTGCAGTGGAAGAACATATAGACATTCCCAGTCGATGGATCAGTACACAACTCTGTGTTGTTGCTATGTGTCTTCCCATTGTTTCCAGCTTATCGTAACCCTAGGGTGAACTTATTACAGGGCTTTCTTTGGGAGATTTGTCCAGAAGGAATTTGCCATTACCTTCTTCTGTAGCCAAGAATGGGACATGCCCAAGGGTCTTTCAGTGGATTTCCATGGCCAAGCAGCAATTTGAACCAGAACTCTTGTCCAAAAACCATTACAGCACATGGTCCTTACACAACTATATATTACATACTTAATTCTTGTATGGCCTTTCATGTTTCACGTATGTTAGAAAACAAGACAATCCCAGTCTTTTATAGCTATCACTTGGCTGCTACATTTGTGTTGGTATCGTTGGCTGTTCCAATACAAAAAGAAACCATTTCATTTTTGTCTGTTAATGGAATCCGGCAGTAATGGGTTCCAGTAGTGAATTCATTTTCTTCACTCTCTCCTGAGAGGTAGGAAAGTACATAAGTACTAAGAGACCAATCTGAATATGAAGAATACCAAACTCAGAACCTATGGATGTGCCAAGGGTAATATTTTCCCCAATATTCTTTTAATTAAAAAGTGTGTCTGCATTGGCTACATGTGTCTCATGAAACCTGTCAGTTACATCTCATGCTGTATGCAGAAATGTGTCAGAGCCATAACTGACATTTTGCCTGAATGGCATGCCTCCAATACAGGTTGCTAATCCATTTTCACTGAGTTTGGTGCCAATCATTTACAGCAGAAATCAAAAATTATTGTCTCCTATGAAGCCACTGCAAAGTATGGATTTTTTTTCTTTTGGCACAGAATGTACCAGCATTAAACTAAGCTGGAAAAACAGATTTTTTTTTTCCCCTCTTAGTATACAGTAAATGAATAAACAACTCCTTATAACAACAAAGAAGTTGATATTCAGAGAGAAACTTATGAAGTTCTTATTGATATTTAAGTCCCAGTATTTCTTCTTCTCTTAAAGCCCTACACTCTTGTTCTTTTCAAGGTATCATCTAGCAGCCCTTTGGTGCTTAGTTTCCAAGATCATGTGCCAGTTGAAAAGGAAGGCAGACAAACTCTGACATTGCTGCCATGACACTAACTTAATATATCATCGGGAATCACGCCATCATGTCCTGTTTCTGACAAGAAATCCCAAATTTCATAGTCAGATTAAATATTCTGAAAATAATTCATGCAGATGTATCTAATTTGCATTATTTATTTTGATTCTGGAATTTGAAGGTCTTTGTGAACAAATGCACCCACCTGCCCCCTGCTGCAGACACTGTCTTTATTCCAGTCAATATTTTTGTTTTTAGTGTAGTTGCATCCGCAGATGGTTGCGGTTGGGATTTTTTCCATATGCGGGAAATGAATATGGAGAAAGCCAATCCGAACTTCCCTTCGGCAATATTCTTGACATAGCCTACCAGACTTTCCCCCTGCGCTCTACCTGAAAGATATTGCCACAAAAAACCTGACAAGAGCATCTCTGAAAGGTTTATGAAATGAATTTTAATCTACTTCATAATTTTCTGGTGGTGTCAAGACACTCCTGTTTTTGAAAGTGTCTCCATGTCAAAAGATTTCTGCTTGCAGGCCAGGCTTCTGTTTATTGAACTTATTGTGTTGATTTGGCTTATTTTATTTTTCTTATTGGGCATATTTTTTCCAGATTATATATTTTTCCTCCATAAGAAGTCTTTATGCATTTACATATTTGTAACTGTTGTTGTCCATGCTTTTTCTACGTTGCTTTGTACCTTGTGCAAGTACACTCAATGTTTTGTCCCTTTTTATTACATTTTTTAAATCTATACAAGTGTAGAGTTGTGGTCTGCAGTTATTAATGGAAAGTAGGAAGGGGTAAAGGTCTCCTATTTCTGTACATACACATCTTTATATTTAAATTAATACTTCTTTGTCAGAAGAGAGGGGACTCACAGTGGTATACAAATACTGGCCAATATCCTGTATGACATGTATTGTGAGAATCCTGGCTCAACCCCTCAACCCTCAAAAATCACTTACCAGACACCAGCTGCTGCAGACAATGGATATCCAGTCCCTGTTCCTCAGGAAGCAGAGAACTGGTATTTCCACCCTCCCTATAAGCAGTCTCCAATATGGTGGGCTTAATCAGAACCTTCATTGCAATTCGTTCCAAAGGTTATTAAGAGGGAGTAGGAATGGCAGCTAGCTGCTTCCCAAGCAACAGGGATTGGACCTCTGTCAATTGCAACAGATGCTTCCTGATAAGTGCAGACTGGGAGACTTTCATGGCCCAAAAGTATAGGGACTGTTAATGCATACTTCTCAAAATGGGGGGGGGGGCTGTTATAAACCATAGCAGAGCAAATGTTCTGCAAGCATCATTAAGTGACATTTGTCTTGTAGTGGTCTCATTGACTTCAACTTTTTTAATAATAATAATAATAATAATAATAATAATAATAATAATAATAATAATAATAATCTTTATTTATAACCCACCACCACCTCCCTGAAGGGGACTTGGGGTGGCTAACATGAGGCCAAGCCCAAAATAATACAACATAGTATACACACAATAACAAAATACATCATAACAAAATATGCAATAACAAATGAAATCAACAATATAAAATAGCATAATAAAATCAGACACAGAGGGTGGGCCAAATGTATGAGGTAAAATGTTAAAAAGTTAAAACCCTGGGTGAGATAGGGATGAAAGTGCATTTGTAAGAGAGGAGCCCAACAGGGAGGAGCCATGGGATTTAGCCATTTGGGGGGGGGGGGCAGGGAAGGTGCTTTATTCTGAGGGCATCTATAGGCTAAAACAACTGGATGGGTTGAGTGGTCATTCTCCAAAGATATTTGCAGGATTAAGCTAGCTCAAGGTTGCAGCTGAGGTAGTTAGCTGAAATTCTGTTTTATATTAACAATCCAAGAGCTGGACCATAAGGAAGTCTGAGCAAAGGAAAGATAGACACTTTTGAACTGTGGTGTTGGAGCAAAATTCTGAGAGTGACTTGGACCATGAGAAGATCTAACCAGTCCGTACTACAGGAAATAATGCCTGACTGTTCACTGGAGGGAAGGATATTAGAGGCAAAGATGAAGTACTTTGGCCACATAATAAGAAGTCAGGAAAGCTTGGAAAAGATAATGATGCTGGGAAAAATGGAAGGAAAAAGGAAGAGGGACCACCCAAGGGCAAAATGGAGGGATTATTCCTGAAGTGACTGAGTTCAACAGGGATCTATTCCCCCTGTCAATTGGAAAGTAGCTGATTAATGGTTCCACATACACACAGTCTTATGCAAGCAATCTCCACCATGAAGGGGAATGGTGACAGGGATCCTAATTCTGTCTGTTGCATTGATTACAGAAACTACTGCTTGGCACAAGGGTTGGACTGGGAGTCACAGCATAATTATCTAGCTATGGTGGTTACCTATTCACAACAGCCCAAGTAAATTCCAGCTATTGTTTTTATTGTGTGTCTTCAAATTGTTATTATGATTATCATTATTATTATTATTATTATTTATTTATTTATTTATTTATTTGAAACACAACAAGATGAGTCCACAGCAAACAAGATCACTCTGCTAGCTGTTGTATTCGATCACATGTCGGACACTTTCCAAGTGTCTAGGACTGTGTGATGAATTGTGAATAATGCGTGCAGATCCCAGTAAGGTGACCTTTTGCAGATGGTAATTTTGTCAGTGCCAATTGTGTTTAAGTGCAGACCAAGGTCTTTAGGCACTGCACCCAGTATGCCAATCACCACTGGGACCACCTTTACTGGTTTGTGCCAGAGTCTTTGCAGTTCGATCTTTAAATCCTCGTATCATGTTGTTGTTGTGGTTGTTATTTCTTACCCACTTCTCCTTGTGGCTTGAGGCAGGTTACAACATTGCTAAAAACACACAATCATCTAAAAACATTCTACAAAATACACATATTAATTTTTTTCTACAGAATACAAATTAAAATACACAGAACAAGGATTAAACATAAGATGCAAGTTTTAAATTCGTGATTAAAACTGGCTGGGTAGGCCTGCCAGAAGAGATGGGTATTTAGATGGCTTTTAAATTCCGACAGCTCATTTTGCTGTTGGCAAAATTTAAAATTCCGACAGCTCATTTTGCTGCTCTTCCATCAGGTTGTTCCACAGTCTTGAGGTCAATGAAAAGGTCCTCTTGGTGGTGGTTGCCAGTTGGGTTCTGGCAAACTGGAGTAGCCACCCCCCAAAGGACCTTAATGTGCAGGACGGATTGTATGGGAGAAGGCAATCATTTAGGTAACCAGACCATGTAGGGCTTTAAAGATCAAAACCAACACTTTGGCCAGAAAACCAATTGGCAGACAGTGGAGTGACATTCGTATGGATATGATAGGCACACACCTAGATGTCCCTGTGACCAATCTGGCTGTCGTGTTTTGAACCAACTGGAGTTTCCAAAATTGGTACAAAGGTAAAGTGCATTGCAGAAGTTCAACCAGCACATGGAGTACCATCTTTAGGTCCTCCAAATCTAGGAAGGGGCACAGCTGGTGTGTCAGCTGAAGCTAATAGTAAGCATTCCTGGTGGTCACATCTACCTGGGCTGACATGTGGAGAGACAGGTCCAGGAGAACTCCCAAACTGTGAACACAGTCTTTCAGGGGGAATGTAACCCCCATCCAGGACTGGTTAGCATACCTCCGTCCCCAGATTAGGACCCCTGATGGCAAGCACCTCTGTTTTGTCTGAATTCAGTTTCAATTTGTTTTTCCACATCCAGCCCATTGCCTCCTCCAGGCACTCATTCAGAGAAGACATGCCCTCCTTAGCTGAG